GTAAACATTGTAGCATGACCTTCTACTGTCAACAGGCTACCAAAATGGTTATAAATTAGGGTTTTTTTGCTTAAGTACCCTTCCTGCTCACCACCACGAACTCCCTCCCCAAGGCAGTTTCCAAACAACTACAAAATGCCAATTTAACTGGAAGGTCAAATCAAAATAAGACCAGGGTGAACACAGGAGCCTTATACTATGCCCAGAATAGCTATCGCTTGAAATGCCTAAACAGACAGACATGACCAGAGGGAGATAAATGGCACAGGAGAAATATTCTAGGCAGACAAAAGTCTTTTCTCAATTCCAGCTGCTCTTACTTCTGTGTAGTCTGGTTGTTAGAGCTGTCCTTGTGTCCTTGTCCATTGCTGCACTGACTCTAATTGGTTGTATCTTCCCCAGAATTTGAACTCAAGCTACAGTTACTAGGAAAGACCTTGTATATTCTGAACCAGTTAATATGGAAAGAAAGTCTTCACATGATCCAATCAAGCCTTTTCTCCCAGCTATCAACCTGAACACCTGGTCCACAGTACTCCTAGAATGTTAATCCCATGAGGCCAGGGTCTGTGTCTCAAGCCTGATCTGGTGACCTGGGAGAAGTATTTGGGTTGCTCTTTCCTATTTAGGATTCACTACTTGTGCCGACAGACTGCAGCTGTGGTAAAACCTCTATTTGTTCCAGTTGGTTCTTTCATTCCCTACTGGACCATCTTGTAAATTGGCAGTTATAAGTAATGACAAAGAGACTCTCTCAAGGTTGGCAGGTGTCATGAGTAAGTAACATGCCGACATATCACCTGCAGTAAAACAATCTCTCAGCTGTCTCCTGAGATGGGAAAAAAAAAAAAAAAAACCTCTCCACCTTTATCAGCTTTCCCCAGTAAGTATGAAATCTCAGTTTCTCTTCACCATGAGCCTTGAACCTTAGTTTGATTTAATCTCATAGCAGCCTCTATTTTCTTGCTCTATAAGAAGTTGAAGCTACTTAAAAGGAAATGGAATGAAATGGCATACCTATTGACTTCATTTTGGCAGGTAAATTCACTGGCTGATGAAAAACATAATCCACCAGCATAGAAGGAGCCACTGATTAACAGTCCCTGGACAGATTAGCAATTTAAGGTTAGATTGGACTATGGCTATCAATTTTAACAACCCAGAGCTAAATCCACCAATTCATCTTTGATTAAAAACAAACAAACAGGGGCGCCTGGGTGGCGCAGTCGGTTAAGCGTCCGACTTCAGCCAGGTCACGATCTCGTGGTCCGTGAGTTCGAGCCCCGCGTCGGGCTCTGGGCTGATGGCTCAGAGCCTGGTGCCTGTTTCCGATTCTGTGTCTCCCTCTCTCTCCGCCCCTCCCCTGTTCATGCTCTGTCTCTCTCTGTCCCAAAAAATAAATAAATGTTGAAAAAAAAAATTTAAAAACAAACAAAGAACAACCAACTGTTTTACAGATTCCTTATATTTTTTAAAGTTGAGTCCACTTCATAAAATTGTCCTCTATTTGAATTTAGAAGATTTATTTTTTATTGTATTTATTTTATTTTATTTTTTTGATTTTATATATGGCATCAAAGGTAAATAGTATAGGTTTTAACCTCATCTTTCACATAGTCTACTTCCTGCATGTCAAGCACAGGTAAATGAGTTTCTGGGCTATTAAAAAATAAATTTAAATTGATGAGGGCCTTTGGTTTGGGGATATTGTAATTCAAACTCTATGTTTTTGGAGTGACTACTGATCATGATGGGTTTTTTGTTTGTTTGTTCTGAGTTACCATCATGGCCATATTTCTGAAACTAAATTCAATAATAAATTCTCTTTACTAATCTCCCAGAGAAGTTAATTTAGTTTTCATGTACTTAGATTATAATAGCTTTTTAAAGCAATATGGATTATAAGGCAAGTTTCAAAATTCTTGACCTATTATTAAAAAGCACTATAATACATTACTACATCTATAATATTATCAAGGACTCTTAATCCAGTGATTATTCACCTGCTAGACAGTGAATGAGTCACATTTTTTAGAAATATTGTGATTTATCATCTTAATAGGAACTTGACTATTTTAGAAATGAGATGGGTTATAACCTCAGGACTCTTTTCTGCTGTTGCCAGAGTGTTTTTTCACCTGGGAAGTTTATATAGCGAACAGTTAAAAGGATATGCCAAATGAATGGTGTCTCTGCTGCATAGCCCGATTGCTTTTTCATTTTTCTTGTAAATTCCTCTAGGCATTAGGCCACCATAGAATACTGGCCAATGACTCATTGCTTTTAAAAATGTAAAGGGCCCAAATTCAAAGGATTCTTAGCCTTCTGCCTTTCTCCTTGTTTTGTAATACATATAACCTGCTATCTTTTGTTATTGTGTGTATATATATATATATATATATATATTTTTTTTTTTTTTTTTTAATTTTCGAAAGAGAGAGAGCATGAGTGGGTGAAAGGAGCAAGGGGGTGGGAGGGAGAGACATAGAGAAAATCTTAAGCAGGCTCCACGCTGAGCATGGGCTTGACTCCATGACCCTGGGCCAAAATCAAGAGTGGGCTGCTCAACTGACTGGTGCACCCATGCCCACCCATGCTCCCCTGGTTGTTGTATTTTTAAATAAAAATCCTCTCTTATAGTCTTCTTCTTGCCCTGTAGCAGCCCATTCACAATTCTTGGAACCACAACAGAGAGCAGAACTATGCAGAGTTTGGGTGCAGGTATAGATTGGGTTTTTAACACAGAAGGAATCCTGAGGTTCTTAGGAAAAGTTATTCAAGTCGAATTGAAAATAGTGGTGTTTTCACAATGGTTAACTAATATTTTCTCCTTTCCCGTCTGGTTAGAGTTTTTCCCTGCTTTAGGGAGCTGCACTTACTTTTGCTTGTTCCAAGACCATCCTCTTGGTCACAGGAGTGATAGTATTACCCAAGATACAATATGTAGAGTACTTGCTTATTTTTCATTTTGTTGCTTGTGCTTTAGGAGTCATATCCAAAATATCTGTGCCAACACCATGTCAAAGGACTTTTCTCCTACGTTTTTTTTCTGGGAGTGTTATGGTTTCACATCTTAAATTTAAGTCTTTGATCCATTTCAACTTAATTTGTGTAGTATAAAATAGGGTCTAGTTTATTGTTTTACATGAAGATTCAAATTTGCCAGCACCATTTATTGAAGAGACTCTTTTTTTTTTCATTAAATATTCTTGCCTCTGTTCTCAAATATTGCTTGACCATGCAAGCAAGGGTTTATCTCTGGGCTCTTGATTCTGTTCCATTGGCCTATGTGTCTGTTTTGATGACAATACCACTCTGTTTTGATAACTATAGCCGTGTAATATAACTTGAGCTCAGGAAGTGTGATGTCTCCAGCTTTGATCTTCTGTCTCAGGATTGCTTTGGCTATTTGGGGCCTTTTGTGGTGTATTTTTAAATATCAGGGAAAATTGCCACTATCAGCAAAACTAATACAGTCAAACTAATAGTATCTTATTATGAATATTTTTTCTTAGCAAAAAATGTTTATTTTATATTAATATTTTAATTTTTTGAATGTCAGCATTTTGATTAAAGTTTTAAAGTACTTTAAGTATGAAATGTGCTTTTTTTTTTTTTTTTTAAAGTAGGCTCCATACCCAATGTGGGCCTTGAACTCACAACCCTGAGATTAAGAGTTGCATGCTCTACCAACTTAGCCAGACAGGCGTGCCTGAAATGCGCTTTTTATTAACAAAAATAAATTAGGCACTATGTTGAAATAAGGGATTACACAGACAGTTTAGTCTTCACTATTCTTGTCTTATTTAAAGTTTAAAAAAGCAGGACAAAATATTCTGCCTTTTCCTCTCATAAATAGTTTCTTTATTTAGAATGAATGAATAATATATGAAAAAGAAATACTCATTTTCTAACTACAGCAGCAATTACTACTATTACAAACCAGATTATCTTTAATGGCTTCTGATTACCCAGTACTTCAGTGACTTTCTATGAGGTCACTTGGGGAGATATTCTTTAAAACTTCGCAGGTTCCTAAAGTTCAATATAAAGTTCCTAAATATTATGAATCATATTTATAACATTCCTGTGTCACTTGTGGTTTGTTGCTACAAGAGATTTCCTTTTGTGCTACACTGACAGGGACAGAGAATTTGGCGGCATCCACAAAGGCCCGATTATAGAACAAGAGGGCTGAGGTCTCTGCAGCCTAACAGGGTTGGGTGTGTAAACACAGGGGAAAGAAACAGGAGACTGTTGTTTTGGGTGTTTCAAAGCTGTTTGAATCTGGGAAATCTGATGTAGAGGCGGGGAAAGGCAACAGGAGCATGCTTTTGGAAAGGGTCAGACTGAGAGGAATCGCAGATATCTGTTCCAGTACATAAAGTTGGAGGTCTGGATGAGAAGGGTGGGGATGTTGGGAAGATCCATGAGCGACTATTAAGGAGCTCGTTGTGGGGATGTTGGGATAGAGCACCCAGGAATCTGGATGCTGGGTAGACCTGGACCCCAAGCATGGAATTCCAGCACTGGGAGGAGTGTGGGTTCAGAATCTGGGTAATGTAAGAGTTAAGTCACTGAGGCCCTGGGTACTGGTCAGGAAGCTCATTTTGCACTGGTTGTGAGGAAGGGCCTAGTCATAGGGAACTCAATCAATCCAGAACTGCCATGGGCTTCCTTGCTCCAAAGAATATGCTCAATTATTCCCAAATTAGACTGAAACCAGACTAAAAATAATATCACCGATACTAATAGTAGCTAAGACTGATGACTTTCTACATTCTAAGCATTATTCTAGGTTCTTCATATGTATTCATTTAAATCTCCAAGCAACCCTATAAGGCAGGCTCTACCTTTATCTACATTTTACAGAAAAAGAAAGGCTAAGTGACTTGCCCACAGCCATACAGCTAGGAGGTGGTGAGCCTAGATTAGAACCAGACAGTCTGACTTCAGAGCCTGTGGTCACTTTGCCATTGGGTGATTACGGTACTACTTACCATATCAATGTCAAGCACTGTCCCAGGTTGGGATTTCCGGGAAGCAGATTCTGAGATAGAGTTTAGTATGCAAGATGATTTTAGGGCGTTCCCTTGAGATAAACACCTGTGGGAAAGGAAACATTATTGGGGAGTTGGAGAAGTCAATCCATGGGGAGCTCTGAGTCTAAATGACCCGAGAGAGTTGTCTCATGTTGGAATGAAATGGCCTGGGCTGCCCTAGGAAAGGCACAATCTTGGGACAAGACAGCCCTCTGTAGCTGAGGCATGAATGAAGGAACTGACAGTGGAGGCTGCCTGTCAACACCATTCCTAGGAGTTGGGGAACTTTATTAAGGCAGGGAGGGGGGGTGTCTTATCTGAGTAGCACATCTCTATGTCCATTACAAGTATACTCATATTTCTGAAAGTTTCTAGAAAATACTAATTAGGATTTATTCCACCTATTCCTATTCATTCATAGAGTGAACTTAAATCCCAATTTGCTCAACAGTCTTCTGGTTTACACTTGTATTTCCAGGATAATTATTAGTAGTTCCCCCTCTTAAAAGTGTCCTGGTTGGATATACATTGTTTTGCCTTCCTAACGTTCTTCTGCTTCTTCTTGTTCCTCTACTAATCATATTTTGTTATTATAGTTTCTATAAAAATTTTATTTTTATAGAAATAAGCACCCCGATTTGTGTACAAAATCTTTCAAAGATAAACAATTACCAGGTTTGCCACCATTTATCTGTTACAAGCAGGCTAGCTTAAAGAAAAACTCAAAGTTTGAAAATCACAATTAAATATCTTTTCTTGGGGCACCTGGGTGGCTTAGTCATTTGGGCATATAAATTTGGTTCCGGTCTTGATCTCGCAGTTCGTGAGTTCCAGCCCCCCATTGGGTTCTCTGCTGTCAACTTAGAGCCCGCTTCAGATCCTCAGTCTTCCTCTCTCTGCCCATCCTCTGCTCATACAAGCTGTCTCTTTCTCTCTCAAAAATAAATAAACATTAAAAATTTTTAAAAATAAATACATTTTATTATACTGATATTCATGGGATAGTATTACCGATTACTAAGGAAAACTTTTCTTTAGTCTTGTAAAATATAATGTAAAGATGACTCTAGAATTCCTTAAGACTGGCTACCTAAATAGAAATAAGGTTCATTGTCACACTTTCATGAAAATTTTGTTTTAAAACTAGAATGAATGAAATATCTTCAGGTCTTACACTTAATTCAAACGAAGTAACATCAATATAAACATGTGAGTTTTGCTAAGGCATCACTCACACCCTATACCCCTTACCTTGAGTCTAAAATAAGTTTACCAATTTTTCTCAGTTATTTGTGTGGATTTCAAGGTGGTGTCCCCTATGTCCTGAGAAATAAGACTGTGCATATTCTTCTGCTATGGCCTCCTAACTAAATTGTTATTCTCACAAGCCATCAGAAAGGAGAGCCTGGCTTTTAGAGGGTAGCCACCATTGCCCTTGTGATCACTGTGTTTCCCTGATGATACGCTGCAGTGCTCAGAGCACTCTGCTTCATGGCCTCTGCTACCTCCTGGGTATGGGGAGTTGCCCCTCCCCATGTCAGGGCTGTGTTCAGATGCAGCACTGATTGTTTGGAGCTTCATCAAGATAGTCCTGTTACTTGCATACCTTGGTCTTAGTGGATCACATCTACTCCCTGGAGTGGGGCCAAGAACAGATCACAGATACTCTCTATTTTCTTGTGTCTCTTAAGTTTGGTCCAGGCATCTCAACACAAAATATCAAAGGCAGTATTGCACCACGCACACAAACTCATTAAACAGATGCCTCGAGATCACTGACCCATCGGTTTGTCAGATAATATTTTATTAAGGTAACATAGTGTTATAGTTAACATTTTATTAACATTTCATTAATGTCATTAAGATTGTATTTTCAAAAAGTTAAGTAGGTAAGTCCCTTAGTGGGTACATGTTAAAGATTCATAGATTTATTTATCTTATTGATGATACACAATGACAAAATTGATTAGAGACACACATACACAAATACACACACATGTGTGTGGAAAATGAATTATGGAAAGAATTCTAAGTAAGAGTAAAAACTGCTTAATGTCCTACAGGGAAATACAATGGTAACCTTTGAGTTATCTTACCTATTCTAATAGAAATCATATTCATTTCTCCTGGACAAAATAATTTGTAACCTATCCATTTTCTAGAAGAGAACATCTAATTTTTCAGAGTCTGAGCCCTAATAACCAGTAAATAATAATTCAAATAAAGTTACATTTCCTAAGGAGACAAACAACCTTCAGGGAACCAGTTATCCCCAGATGGACTTGTTACACAATGTTCTGGCATGATTTTGAAAGAGTTTGCTGTAATATTCTTGCCTTATTTTCAAGTTTTGGATGAGTTTTTCTAATATAGATATACCATAACAGGACTCTGATTCTCTATTTAGGCTCAACTGTATCCCCACACATATAAATATGGATGCTCAGAAATAGAGTTTGTATTTAGTGAATATTAGGAGCCCCAGTAGCTCACTATAGGGAACAGCTTGGTTGGCATTGCATTTTTGAAAAGATCATTTGTTTCTGAAAAACTTCCCCAATCCTACATGTGGATAGCTACATGACACATAACAACACATCGGTGTGTTAGTGTCTTAAAGCACTTTCTGAATTTTAAGTAAAAATTAAGTATTTTGCAAATACATATGCTTTGTGCATATAAATATTGAAAATAAGGTAATTATATGTAATGTAATTGAAATTGTAAAGATTTTTCCACTTCCAATGTGGGAGGGAATATAAGAGCTTGCTAATCTCATATGGCAGCAGCTTTTGCCAACTGGCTTTTCTCCAGAACTATTACTTGTTAATGTTCCTAAATGTGCTACTATTATCACCGTTCAACAACGTGACACTGGTAACACTGTGCAGTGCTCTGAAGCATCTAAATTGAATTGAGAAAACCGTACTGCCCCTGCTTTTGAACTATTTCATTTTTTTTCTAGAGGAGGAACCCAAGAACTAGATTAAGTAATAATTATTAGTTATTAATTTAAATATATCTTACAGGCTGTTAAAGATATTGGCAATCAAGGGCACTTTGTTGCACGTGAAGGAAATCTGGAATTATTTTTTCCAGTAAAAAGACACCTTTTATTAAATTCTAAGTTGCTACCTACATTAACCCACATTTTTAGATACATATTTATCTTTCAAAGAGCTTTGTCTCATTACTTATATTTTTATATGGTCATATATGAAATAAGTCTTTAGATAGGGCTCACTTCTCTGAAATACCATTCTTTACTGTGCACTGAAACTCACTAAGAAAAATTATCATTCATAAAGACTTCAGAGTTTTTAGGAAGGCACAAAGAAAATGTGAAATATTCATTATAATGGGAACATTTAAACATTTTTTCTTTGACTATTATTCTGCTGCAGAGAATTTTACCATTATCTACTAAGAAGTTCATATTTGGCTGTTTTTAAAGAATTTTAAATAATTGGTGATGTTGACCCTAATTCACCCAATGACTTTTTTATTTTTTATTTTTTGCAAGATGGACATTAACCTTCCTGCCTCCTAAGTATTTACTTTATTAAATCTAGGTTCTATGTCCACCACACTGTAGAAATATCCTATGGAAAATCACAGAAAATTAAACTTGCTTATCTATTGTTGATTTGATATTCAGTGGAATTATATTAAAATTTTTGTCTTCAGTGACTGCTTTTTCAGAGGTCATAGATCCAAGCTTTTGTAATGCACATCACTGAATATTTTTTCTCATGTTACTTGGTAAAATGATGTATTTCAGATCAGGGAGATACGTTAAGATACAGCTTTTTGAAGACAACTTGATCAGATTGCAAAAGGTCGTTCAAGTACCTTATTTTATTTTCAAAGTGGTTGGCTTATAGTCAGACTAAGCATCAAGAAATTCTATTTACCCAATTGTGCACAGCAGGGATAGGACAAAATGTACACAGGACTAACAGTAGTAGGGGAAATCAAACATAATCCAGGGGCAATCACATCACACCTAAATGGGAAAAAAAAGTTTCTATTTATTGATTGACTGACTATAATGTAGCACCATTTTATACATAGTAAAGAAATATGAGCACTGGGTGTTCTATGGAAACCAATTTGACAATAAATTATATTTCAAAAAAGAAATATGGGCACAAATCTTTTCCCTTTTCTTTTGAGAGAGAGCAAGCATGAGCAGGGGAGAGGGGCAGAAGGAGAGAGAGAGAGAATCTTAAGCAGCTTTCACACTCAGCACAGAGTCTGACATGAGGCTCAATTCTACAACCCTGGGATCATGACCTGAGCTGAAGTCAATAGCAGATGCTCAACCAACTGACCCACCCAGGTGCACCATGCATACTTCTTACCTAATAGTTCTTCCAATGGCCATAGGGTGCAGGAATATTTTGAAAAAATTTTAATGTTTTTTAAATTTATTTTTGAGAGAGAGAGAGAGTACAAGCAGGGGAGGGGCAGAGAGAGGGAGACAGAATCCATGAAGTAGGCTCTAGGCTCTAGGCTCTGAGCTGTCTGCGCAGAGCAGGACGCAGGGCCTGAACCTGTGAGCCACGAGATCATGACCTGAGCCGAAGTCAGACGCTCAACCTACTGAGTCACCCAGTCACCCCATAGGGTGCAGAAATATTTTGAATTTCTGTTGGTCCTTCTTGTCTGCAGTACTTACACTATGTGTATCCAGAAAGAGGAAAGAAACTCCTTAAATATATGGGTCCATTTTTGAGACACAATGCAAAGATCCACTATTCTTAAATACTTAGCAGATATTTCTTAAAGGTACAAAAATGAAGACAATTCCTATATTTATTTTTGAATTTTGAAAGAAGTCTTAAAGCTGCATAGCTGAGATATGGTTAACTCCATCCTTCAAACATGAATCATCACTCAACATTCTGACTATAAGTCCATATCAAACAAGCAAAACATTTTATCTTTTAGCATCTAAATGATATGGAAAAAAATTACTTCTTCATTGAAGCCAAATGCTATAAAATCCTACTTATTTTTCTAGTTACTTTTTAAAATTTATTGTCAAGTTACCTAACATACAGTGTATACAGTGTGCTCTTGGTTTGGGGGTAGATTCCCATGATTCATCACTTACATACAGTATCCAGAGAACTGATAAAATAAATTATGGCATATTATTGAAATGGAATGTTCCATAGCTAACTAAAAATAGTGGAGTAGATTCATAATGGAGTAGATGAAAGTCATGTATTACATAGTACTAATTGCATAAACAAAGTTTGAAAAGACTCCATTCTGTATGTCTTTTATTTTTGTGTATGCCAACAGTTTCCTAGAAGGAAATCTAGGAATTGCCAGTGAAAACTTGGGCTGTTTTGAGTGGGAAAACTTTTACTTTAGTATTCTTATGTAATGTTTGGTTTTTTATTCATGTTGATGTTTTATAATTCAAAAAATGATTTTAAATATCACTTGGTTTGCTCAGACCCTGTTTTCTTGGTGTTATATTCCAGGGGTGGGAGGTTTAAAATAACAGAAACTCCACTTAATCTTGCTTATGCAAAAACCAGAAGATTTTTTTTTGCATTTTTTATCTTTTCTTTCTACCATTCTTTATGAGTTGTCTCCATTCCAACTGCACAATGTTGTGAAGGAGACAGCTACTTCCAGCTTTTAAGCTCACACCCTCATGGCTGTACCATAAAGCACAAAAGGGCTCTTCTCCCCAGTCACATGAAGGAGCTCTGTCCCAGTTTGAGCCATTTGCTAAAACCCTGGACCAATCTCTAACATAAGGAATGGTGTTTGCAAACATGCGTAATGTGATTGCTCCAAGACCCAAGGCCAATTATTGTGGTTAAGAAAACACAACCAGAATTAAAAAGGGCTGTCTCTTTCCTAAATAAGAGAGAGTTGCTAGGCAAGCAGAAACCACACCACATACACATATTTGGGAAATGCATTTTGATATTATTATGATTAATAAAGTAGAAATAATTCAGGGGCGCCTGGGTGGCGCAGTCGGTTAAGTGTCCGACTTCAGCCAGGTCACGATCTTGCGGTCCGTGAGTTCGAGCCCCGCGTCAGGCTCTGGGCTGATGGCTCGGAGCCTGGAGCCTGTTTCCGATTCTGTGTCTCCCTCTCTCTCTGCCCCTCCTCCGTTCATGCTCTGTCTCTCTCTGTCCCCCAAAAAATAAATAAACGTTGAAAAAAAAATAAAAAAAATAAAAAAATAAAAGAAATCATTTAAATATGTTAATAATAAATCAATAGTAGCTTTTGCCATTATAGGTTTTCTCAAACATTAGACACTAAAAGTGTAAGTTTCTTTTTGTAGGAGGGGGAGACAATTTTCATGACATTTAAAATCTCCTTGTGTTCAGAGTTGAGACCACTGGTTGAGGTCTGAAGTAGACTATCGCTAGTATTCATGGAGAGTGGGTACAGATGAGGAGAGATTTTGGTAATACAAAGTAGAGAAGCCGGAAACTGCCAATTATGGGGGCAGAAAAGAAGAAAGAGTAAAAATTATACAAATGTTCTGGTAATTATTTTTAAAATTTCATAATGAAATAAGAGTGTCTAGATAAATGACAGCCAAGAATCAAACCTAGCAACAAATATTTTGTCTTTCTGCTTTGCATTTTACCCAATACACTATGTAGAAGCAATGTATCTTTTCTTATTGTTTATTTAAAACAAGCGTATTATTGTGTACAACAGTATGGGAATGACATACCTAGGGAGAAGTGGGCAGGCTAGGGAGACAAATGCAGGACTTTGGGGTTTGAGTTTGGTTTCTATAAGAACTTTCTATAGCAAATGCTTGATGGTACTATCAAAATGTTTTTGGCAGAACAATATCGAGAAAACCCACTGGCCTCTGAGGACAAGAAAGAGTGATTTCATAGTGACGCTGCATCTTGAGGCTGCTGTTTGGGTCCGATAGCCAGTGCACTTTCAGGGTGAGTAAACTGAGGTGCTAAGGGAGTTTGAAAGGATCAGCTATTACATTTGAAAAATGTTTTTCACTGTAAGAAACATCACCACCATCATGAACACACACACATATTTTTAAACACCTACTTTTTGATATAGTTCCAAGGCTTCTGAAAAGAATTTGAATTGCCCCTTGCTTCCAGCAAGGAAATTCATTAAGGGAGAATATGCCAACAGCTCTGCTTCCTAATGTAACTTAATGAATACCTGGTTCATATAAATCACAGTTAATTTAATGCTTAGTTAGTATTTATGGCCCAAAGTGAAATCAGTCCTACTGAAGTTCATGACACAGGGTGTTTTCTGGGACTGTCCAGTCTGGGCTTTAGAATCTTCCCTGAAAGTGGCAGCTTTGTTTGTTAGGTTGGTGTTTTGTTTTGTTTTGTTTTGTTTTTTGTTTTGCTTTGTTTTGTTTTGTTTTGTTAGAGTCAGTATTTTTTTGACAAATTTTTGAAGGAACTTTTTATTTTAGAATTTAAAGAAAGCCAACAGAAGAAATTTTAGTCTCCCATTACTAAATGTCTCCCTGACTGCAGTAGCTGGGACAAAAAAAAAAAAAAATGGCTCAGTGAGTTGGGAGTGGGAGTCCCAGCACCTGGTCCCAGGAGCCACATAGGGGTGGTCATGGCCACTGCAGCAGTTTTGCCCAATGCCCCGTGGAGGCAGCCACCTGCAGGTTGTGCAAGGTGTGGCGGGGCAGCCCTGGCTTCCTGGGGACCCTCTGTTGTGCCAGTCCTGAAGGGCAAGGACGGGCTGAGGAGCCCGTGCTTGTCAAGGCCCAGAGTCAGTGGTGAACGTGGTTCTTCTGGGCCCATGGCCCCTTGAAGTAAGAAATTAAAAGTGAGCAAGGGAGGAAAACACAAAGGAGGAGGTGCTGATGGTGTTAAAGTGCCACCAGCGGCAGCTACAGGCACCACACAGGTCTGGGCCAGAGATCTAGCCCCCATTTCCTTTAGGAAGGAAGAAGACAAACAGCCAAGCATCATCTGAAATTATGATTGGCTGACTAATAATCCTAGGGCAAATTAGAGCCTATTCAAGTCTAAATTTTCCTAATATTGCTACAGAGATGTTTGGTGGAAAGGTTTGCTCAGTATGTTATGGAATGGACTGTGAAAGTCCCACATGGCTTCCTTACAGCAGTTCTGTGGGCCCCTTCCCCTCTGTGCCTAGTGAGTGTGAGCTGTCTTGGAAACTGGCCCAGAAGACAAAGGCCAGAGAAAAAGAGCAAAGTAAGAAATAAATATTGCAAAAGCTGCACAACCAACACAGAGTTGAAGAAATAGACAGGCTCTCCAGCTAGAATGAAATCATTTGGCATATTATGAAGCTCTGGAAGGGACCCACTAAGATCTTTCTTTTCTTTCTTTCTTTCTGTTTGAATTTTTTTGATAGGTTTATTTATTTTGAGAGAGAGAGAGAAAAAAAATATGAGTGGGGGAGGGGCAGTGAGAGAGGGAGAAAGAAGTCGAAGCAGGCTCCATTGGGTTTAAACCCACCAACTGTGAGATCAGGACCTGAGCTGAATCAAGAGTCCAATCAAGAGTCAGATGCTTAACCAACTGGGCCACCCAGGCTCCCCCACACTCCACCCCGCCATAATACTTTATGAAAGTATTATTTAGTAAATGAAGTTGTAGGTTTGGGAGTAGAAATTGGTTGGGTTTGTTGACAGTCATTGTAAATTAGCAATTTTTATGCTACAAATTCTTTATAATTGACTTAGTCATTTGCTGTTTTGTAGTTTATGTACTGAAATGAAAACATCATATGGAGAAAAATGACCTTAGAATATGGATTCTATTCAAATAATGGTTTAAAAGAGGATCCTGTGGGGCGCCTGGGTGGCGCAGTCGGTTAAGCGTCCGACTTCAGCCAGGTCACGATCTCGCGGTCCGTGAGTTCGAGCCCCGCGTCGGGCTCTGGGCTGATGGCTCAGAGCCTGGAGCCTGTTTCCGATTCTGTGTCTCCCTCTCTCTCTGCCCCTCCCCCGTTCATGCTCTGTCTCTCTCTGTCCCAAAAATAAATAAATGTTGAAAAAAAAAATTTTTTTTTTAATTTAAAAAAAAAAAAAAAAGAGGATCCTGTTCTGGATGAAGGAAATTGAGAATGAAAAAGAACTGTCCTCTTTGAGGTGAAAATGTGCTTTGGCTTAAAAGAGATATGGTAGATTCATCACACCTTTTACCATTATCGCTAATTGGTTGAAATAGAGTTATTTCTGGCTTTTTCAAAACTAAATAACATTTTGAGTGAGTAGTTCTATTTTCTGTGGTTTTCTGATGTTAGCCTTTGAGGTATTAGCAATTATTGACATTATTTTTTAAGCCAAATTTTATAAAGAATTCCTTTACCTTAAAATGTAGAAAACCATCTACTGGATATAACAGTTTTGGTAGTTATGAACACTGACATTTTCTTAGAAATGACTTGTTGGAGAAGACTAATGCTATGACTTAAAACTTGCAGTAAAAATGTTACATATTGTGGTCCCTCAGAGCCAGCTTATTCTTATTTGTGCTGAGCAGAAATGTGACATAGTTAAAATGTCTTGTCAGCTAATTTGCTGACTATATAGATATCACTTTTGTTTTTTATTCCATTCTTTGTTTCATCTCTCATGGTAGTGATGTTCTGTACTCTTTGATCAAGCAGGTTCAAAGCAAAAATTTAAATTTCAAATTCATTTTAAGGAACTCTTAAAGAGTAACAGCTGAGTTATACTGAATAAGTGGTAAAGTATTAAAATTTGAAAAAAAATCGTCAGGAATAGTAGTAATTTGGTGAAAAATGTAAATTATGTTAAAATGAGAATATGTTACAAGTAGGGGAGCTGTAAGATTTTATTCAATTAAGTAGTATAACTGAAACTTTATACTATTAAGTGTAGCTTTTATAAATGGATGACCCCCCAATTTTATTTGCTGTCAGGATTTAACAGCTTATTACTGTTTTCCCTACCTCTGATAAAGAATTTTGTTACAAAAACTGCCCAACAGCTCTAATTTAAAACTGAAACCAGCTACAAATAAATTTGATACTTTTTTATAAATAAAGGAAACAATTGATAACACTATTTAAGTGTTCCAGGCTCTCTACCATAGGAATTATTCCAGGGTATTTTTATAATTCATTTGTTTAACAAATTTTTATTGAAAACCTACTATATGTGTGGCTCTGTGCTAAACATTAAGGATACAAAGGAAGTAATTCACTGTTTTTATTAGTCTTATAATTTAATGAGAGAAGATAGACATTGATTAAGCAATAGTCAATTTTCATTATTTGTGGATTCCATATTTGTGAATTCATTTACCTGCTAAAATGAACTTTTGTGGTCCTTTGAAGACATGTTCAGAGTGGCAAGAAACCTGCAGCACGTGTGCATGTTTCCAGTTGAGGTGGGACAAGACAAGGCTCTACCCTCTTGTTTTAGCTTTCATACTGTAAACAAATGAACTTTTCATGCCCTGTTTAGTGCCACATTTTCCACATTCTTATACTTTTTGTGGATGGTTTCTCCATTCTAAATGGCCGCCCAAGCATAGTGCTGGAGTGCTGTCTAGTGTTCCTGAGCTCAAGAAGGCTGGGAAAGGGGCGCCTGGGTGGCGCAGTCGGTTGAGCGTCTGACTTCAGCCAGGTCACGATCTCGCGGTCCGTGAGTTCGAGCCCCGCGTCAGGCTCTGGGCTGATGGCTCAGAGCCTGGAGCCTGTTTCCGATTCTGTGTCTCCCTCTCTCTCTGCCCCTCCCCCGTTCATGCTCTGTCTCTCTCTGTCCCAAAAAAATAAATAAACGTTGAAAAAAAATTTATAAAAAAAGAAGGCTGGGATGTGCCTTAAGGAGAATATATGCATATTAGATAAGCTTCCTTTAGGCATGAGTTAATAGTGCTGTTGGCTGCGATTTCAATATTACTGAATCAACAATATATAATAAATAAAGTGTCTTTAAAACAGAAAAGCATAGAAAACAATGTCATGTATTGATTAGTTGATGAAAATGCTGTGACTAGGGGCTTGCAGGAACCTAACTATTCAATGTTCATGGTGAATTTATATAGCAAATTAAGAGGGAAGAGTTAAGATGGTGGAGGAGTAGGGAGACCCTAGACTTGCTTCCTCCCTTGAACACAGCTAGATAAATATCAAATCATTTTGAACACCCAAGAAATTGACTTAAGGACTGAGAGAGCAAAATACACAACTAGAGATGAAAAACTGCCACATTGTGGAAGGTGGGAGCTGTGGAGGGTTAATTTGGGGGAGAGAAGAGCTCTCTTTCCCTGGGAAGGGAATTCTGATCAGAGAGAGAGGAGCAAGAGAGAAAGAAGGAGAGGGAGAGAAAGTGAAAGTGTGTGCAGGGACTTTCACAAGAAAAACTCTTCCCCAAAACCATAGTATGGGAAAAGGAGAGGGGCTGACTACTGCAAGTTTTTATAAACAGCTGAGTGCAGAGGCTGAAGTTTCAGAAGTCTGTACCATCACCAGGGTCATACATGGTGGGCTTTAGCGGTACTCTGGTGGGGAAGTAGGATGGAGACCTGGGAGCAGGCAGTGTGGTCTGAGAATCTCCTGGGTTGGCAGGGGAGAAACATTTCCCCTGCTTGGAGAAGAGGTGATTGTTTGCTTTTCTATGAGAGCTTCCTGAAGAGTGGCAGATGCAAGCTCCCCACTCTGAGGGTGGAGAGTGGGGTGTTGCCATTTTCACCCTGCCTATCAGCACTGACCAACTTCAGTGAGCAAGAAAGCGCCACCAAGTGGAGGCCAGAGCCGCTTACAACAAACCCCGCCCCCTGCGCCCTGTAGGTGTGTCTCCACTAGGACAAGTCAGCCTGAGAATCAGCACAGCATGCCCCACCCCCAGAAGACCAGCATGAACCCCCTCTCTCATATAAAGTTAACTGCTCAGAGACTGCTGCAAAGCTTCAGCTCTAGGGGAAATAGGACCTAGCTTCATTTTGTTTTGTTTTGTTTTCCTTGGGTTACAGAAAAAAAGCAAATTTTAAAGTTATTTTTATTTTTACTTATTTATACTTAAATTTTTTTTTGGTTGCATCAGCTGTTTTTAAGAAACAGACCATGGGGCGCCTGGGTGGCGCAGTCGGTTAAGCGTCTGACTTCAGCCAGGTCACGATCTCACGGTCCGTGAGTTCGACCCCCGCGTCGGGCTCTGGGCTGATGGCTCAGAGCCTGGAGCCTGTTTCCGATTCTGTGTCTCCCTCTCTCTCTGCCCCTCGCCCGTTCATGCTCTGTCTCTCTCTGTCCCAAAAATAAATAAACGTTGGGGAAAAAAAATTTTAAAGAAACAGACCAAAACACACCTAGGATCTAGCTTCCTTTTTTTTTTTTTTTTTTTTTTTGACCTTGACAATATGACAAGATGGAGCAACTGACCCCAAAAGAAAACAGGAAGAAACAATGGCCAGGGATTTAATCAATGCAGATATAAGAAAGATGTCTAACTAGAATTTAAAAGAACAATTATAAAGATACCAGCTGGGCTTGAAAAAAAAGCATAGAAAACACTAGGGAATCCCTTACTGCAGAGAGAAAAGAACTAAAAACTAGTCAGGCTGAAATTAGAAATGTTGTAACTGAGATTCAAAGTCAAATGGATATGATAACAATGAAGATGGGTGAATCAGAAGAACAAATCAGTGATATAGAAGATAAAAATTATGGAAAATAATGAAGCTGAAAAGAGGAAAAGAAAGGTGTTAAATCACAAATGTAGACTTAGGGAACTCAGCGACTTCTTAAAGTGTAATAACATTTATATCATAGGTGCCCAAGATGAAAAAGGGGAAGAAGGTTTATTAGAGTAAATTATAACTGAAAATTTGCATAACCTAGAGAAGGAAACAGACATTGAAATCCAAGAAGCACATAGAACTCCCACTAAATGCAACAAAAGCTGGCCTTCATCAAGACCTATCATAGTTAAGTT